TGTAATAGTATTTTATGTACTTTTTTTTTTTATAGGTAACATACAATTTTATTTGTCTATTTTTGTATCTGACTTATAGGTAGTCTTCTAATTTATGTTCCTAACGTATAGGTAACACAATTTATCACTAAGTTGTTTTCGTTGTTAATAATAACACTATTTACTTGTATGTCAAGTATATAATTTCATGTGCGTGCTTGTCTGATCGATTGGTATAATATGTGGGTCTGTACTTTTCATTGATGAAATTGTATTTTATCCATATATTAGGTAAATATTATCAAGGAAAGAATTCATATGCATTAAATTTAGATTTTCAATGTGTTTTCCTTATTTACCTCAAAAGGTAACGTCAACACAATAAAAAAAAAAGTAATAAATGTCAAAGGATCTACATCTAAAATAAAAAAACTCGTGAACTAAACCCAATGGCAACTAATCATTTTGGACCTAGATCTAAGAAGCCCTTTATTCTAAACCCACACGCATCCTATCACAATGCAACTCGCAATGTAAAGCAATATTGATCAAAATCGAAATACAACGTTTATTCTAATCCTCAATTGACTAAGTCTCTAGGAACATGCAAAAGTTATTAGGCAGCCTTCAATGTGTTTGCAATGTCGATGACAAGTCGATATCTAACATCAGCTTTGAGAAGACGTTCCATGGCGGTATTCAAATAATCAATTGGGATAACTTCAATGTCAGATGTTATGTTGTGTTTAGCTGCAAAGTCGATCATCTCTTGTGTCTCCTTAATACCTCCAATGCAACTGCCAGCAATTATCTTCCTTCCTGTAATTCCAGAATTTAGGGTTTGTTAAAGAATGTTAATTGTTTAACCAAAAGGAAATTAAAAACAAAAATCCTTAATCTTCTTTTTTACACATTCACATGCTTACCCAAGACCAATGGAGTAATTGGAAGCTCAAAAGGCTTCTCTGGTAGACCAACCATAACAAGTTTCCCATCACACTTCAACAAACCAATTAAAGGCAACAGAGGGTGGACGGCAGAAACCGTGTCAATGATACCATCCATTGTGCCCATGGCAGCCTACAAAATTAACATGACAAAATATTAATTAGAATGATCATAATCATCACCATTATCAATGAAACTTGTTCAAATATTTACCTTCATTTGATCTTGTTCACGGCTGACCAAAAAGGCATCAGCTTTGAGACTTTTAATAGCTTCCTCCTTCTTATTAGGGGAGGTACTTATCACTGTAACCCTAACCCCCAAAGCCTTGGCAAACTTGACGGCCACGTGGCCTAGACCACCAAGGCCAACCACCCCCACATGCATGCCGGGTTTGTCGAGTCCATAATGTCTCAAGGGGCTGTAAGTTGTGATCCCGGCACAAAGGAGAGGGGCAGCCCCGTCAAGGGGAATGTTGTCGGGAATATGAATTACGAAGCCCTCCCCCGTGACCATGAAGTCAGAGTAGCCCCCATATGTGATGGTTCCATCGTGGTACTTCCCACCATAGGTTAGTATATATTTGGGGCAGTAATTCTCAAGGTTGTGGGAACAATTGTCACATGATCCGCAAGAACCCACCATGCATCCAACACCGACTTTGTCTCCAACTTTAAATTTTTGTACCTTGCTCCCTACCTCTGTCACTACACCGACAATCTCATGCCTGCATTGTGTGATTTAATTAAGTTCTCATTTAATGTTAGTTAATTAAACTCATGCAATATTTCATATACTAATTTTCTCTATATTGATAATTTGGTATTAGACCTACCCGGGAACCAAAGGATATTTAGAACTTCCCCAGTCATTCTTTGACGTGTGAAGGTCGGTGTGGCATATCCCACAATATAATACTTTGAATGTCACGTCTTTTTCTCCAGTTGCTCTGCAACCAATTAAATCAGTTCAACTTTATAGAACTAAATCAAAACATGAGATAATCCATGATACTTTGAATGTCACGTCTTTTTCTCCAGTTGCTCTGCAACCAATTAAATCAGTTCAACTTTATAGAACTAAATCAAAACATGAGATAATCCATGGAGAGGACAAGAATAACCCAAGAAAAAGCTATGATCATACTGCATTCTATCCTCTTTTAGATATAAATGGAAAGTTTATTAATTTGGTCAGGTTATTAAGACATGAAAAACTTAAATCAATTGGATTTTAAACCTAAACAATAAAAAACCTAATCATTTTTTTTATTTATTTGTTAGATTTCTTTGTCTTTCCTAAAGAAGAAACTATTAATGTCGAAAATTAATAACCTTCTTGAGAATTTGAAGGGAGATAAAACATATTTGTTCGATTTCTTTGTCTTTCCTAAAGAAGAAACTATTAATGTCGAAAATTAATAACCTTCTTGAGAATTTGAAGGGAGATAAAACACCGGATGAATCCCTTGCAGCCCATCCAATGGCCTTCTTAGGGTGTTCTTCCTCTGGAGATTTCGCCATTTTCTCTCTTCTAAGTATTTTCTTTCTTATTAGTTATTATTTTCTCTGATAGTGTATATTAACTAATTATATATATACAGAGAGAGGTAGAGAGAGAGAGACTGTGTGTAGCAGCTAGCAATTGCGACGTGCTAGTCTTTCGGGAGTTTTTGCTCACATAAATCCAACTTTCTAGGCTTCTTCTTAGTCTGAATCCAATTTTTTGGGTGGCCATACAACTTTCCCGGGAAAGTACACTCACGTCATTACAATATTTCGTTTGAGCTTGCCTCCGTAATTGTGTTTGATGATTTTAAAGAAATTAAACATTTTGATTTACATATATGTTTTAACAAAAAACACATTTGACTGCTTAGAAACAAATTTTGATACTTTTACCAAATTATTTATACATACAAACCAAACAATTAGTTATAATCCTCATTCACATGATTATACTCGCGCATTTCATCTTCTTGGGAAAGGTATACTTATTCGTCATGCCTTTCATGTATGGACTGATCGAAATGACATTTCTCAAACATGTCTATCAATCATGTTCAAGCTTCTTGATTTTTATATATTTTTAAGCACAAATGTGTATTAATTTCAACACTCCTCCTTCATGCACATTTGTGTTACTCCGAGCATGCTTTGTAGCAGTTCGAATTTTGTTCTTGGAAGTGCCTTAGTGAAGATGTCTGCAATCTGCTATCCTGTCTTGCAGTACTACAACTCAACTTCTTTTTTTGCTGAGACTTCTCGTAAGAAGTGATGTTTGATGGCAATATGCTTTCTCCTGTTGTGGAACACTGGATTTTTTGCCATTGCTATAGTAGACTTGTTGTCGCAAAGTATTTCAGTAGCTTTTGTTTGGTATTCTTCCATATCTTCAAATATTCTTTCGAGCCAAATAGCTTGGCATGCTAAACTTGTTGCTGCTATGTACTCGGCTTCTACTGATGATTGAGCCACAGTCTCTTGTTTCTTTGATGACCATGATAATATTCATGATCCAATTGTAAATGCATAGCCTGATGTGCTTTTCATCGCCCAGGTCGGGAACTGAGATATGGGACGCGCTTTCCAGTGATGGAAAAGGAAACTGACTTCAGACCAGAGCTCCTGCTGCTGCCTGCCTGCTTCAACATTCAACCATAGAGCAACATGTAAGGAAGCTAAATTTTCTAAGTCAAATTGTTCTGTTATCTAAAAATTGACATCATGAAAGAGATAACCTCAATATATGCCTTCTAAACATTCAATCTCCTACCTAGCAAATACCTTACAACTTCTACGGCTTCCTTTAACTTGATAAAGTGTTATTGAGCAGTTACAAGAGAGGAAGTAGTATGAAATTTAGAGCAATTTTGTTCCATCATTTTCTTGAACTAAAACAGAATTATAAAGTTCAACAGTATACACCCACAAAATCAATCACAGACCAAGTTGACTTGAAACACCAAATGGGACCCACCGTGTAATGGGTCTTGATGCAAACTCTGGTTAGTGTAATGTCTAACTCTAACCTAATAACATGCAGACATGGTGCCGCTCCCAAACTTCATAATAGTATATCAAAAAGTCAATTTGAGCAAACTCAAGCTTACTCTCTTGTCTCATTAAAAACTCAAACTTAATGATTAGCAAAAGAAGCTCAGACTTAACCTAATAAAATCCAAATCACCCATTTCAATCAATAAGAAACGGAAGCAAGCTGCAAGATTTACAGTAGACCACAAAGAATCACTACCAAGCTCAACAATTTACCCAGATTCATTAATTCAACAAACCGAAGATCCAAATCTAATAGCAAAACCTCAAATCGTGAAAACAAAACAAACAAACATGATGGTGAAAATCATAAATCTTGAAAATTAGATTGTAATTAACAACAGATAAATGACCACAGAAGACGGGGGAAGTAATACCAAGGTGGGCTTGAAGGAGGTTGAAAGAGCAGTAGAAGCTTGTGTGAGAGAAGCCATTGGTGTCGACAGAAGAGAGATCTGATATTGAAAGAAATACAAATGAGAAGGAGAGAGAGAGGCGGAGAGCACGAAGAGTGTGTACGTGAGAGAGAGAGAGAGTGTGGGGTTTGATTTGAGAAGAAGGGAGGGTCTTCAAACAGGTTTTATAAATGCTGGATTTTGTTGTTTCTTGGTGTTTGTTGGGATTTGTTGGGCTTTTTCGCTTTGTTTCTATCGAAATTGCGACTATTTGGGCCTCCCCCTTCTTATTTCTTTCTTGTTGTTTGCCTCCTTGATGGATCTGGGGTATTTATGGTAATTAATATCTTTTGCTGCAGCCACTGTGACAGTTGTCTTCGCTTCCCCTGATCAAATGCGTTACGTTTCATATACTGCCCAAAATAAAAACAATAGTAATTCATAGAGGCTTTGTAGTTTATGTAATTAAAAGTATTTATCTCATGAGATTTATTTTTTCTTTCTATTAATATCATTTGTAATTAAAATATAAAATAAAAATGCAGGATTTTAGAATTCGAATACAAAACCTTTCTTAGAAGAATATTTGCCCCAAACCGCTATATTAATAGGTCATTTGTAGTTTCTCACCCATTTTTTATAGATTATTTCAGTGACAATTTTTTTCTTTATGTCAAATTACTTAAAAGGCAATTAAATTTTTTATTTATTAAAAAAAATACATATGCAGCAGACAGCCATGTAAGCATAAATAGAAACCTTAGGGTAATGATTCATTGCAAATCTCATTAGAACTATTATTTTCTTTCATTTTGTTTTTGCTTCTCTGAAAGAATTTGATAGAAAATTATTTTTCATATTTTTTAGGAATATTTCTCATTATTTGGCAATGCTAGGAATGTAACCATGCAATTCCACTTTATTTCCTTTCCCATATTTGACTTGTATAGAAATGAAAAACAAATTTGATTTAGTTTTCCAATTATACCTACTCACACATGTGCCAATTGGTTTTCTTTTTTTATTTTATAATTAAAAAAGATGGTAGGTAGTTGTGTTTCATAAAAATAGGACCATTATCTTATTTTGTTTTTAATTTTTAATTTTTAGATATGAAAAGTGTGAATTTACCATATTGTCCTCATTTAATTAATAATTTCAATTCTTAATGTTTGCATTAACTAAGGGAATTTTGTTTGCTTTATATTATACCTATATTAGAATTATAAAATAAAAAAGAATTGTTGTTGGATAAAATTGTAATTCTAAATTGTTAATAGGGACAAATTGGTCATGAAAAAAAATGAATTTAATTATGACATTGATTTCCCGTAGCAAGTTTCATTTTTCCCCCTTTTCTTATGTGCCAAGAAACCATTTCCTATATTTAGACTTAGAGCAGGTCCACCCATGAAGGCTAAGGCAAGGGCTGGCACTATTCACATGAATAGTGGCAGCCTTGCCTTTTTTGGTTCCACCCCAAAAGGCTAGGGCAAGGGCAAATACTATTCACATGAGATATGAGGAGATGAATTTGTATAGAGTTTTTGGTGTGGGAAGTAAAGAATATGTCTCGGTATTTATTTAAAAAAATTCTAGAATTTTTAGTTTTTTTTTTCCTTTTTTTTCCTTTTTTTTTCAAAATTTTTTGGTTGCTGATATCATTATGACGTCAGCATTGCATCATCCTGCCCATGCAGCAGCTCGGGCTGAATTTGCCCGTGGGCTTGCTTGGGCTCGTGGGACCCAGCTCTTGCCAGGGCTGGCCTTGCGCGCTAGAGGCATTTTGGGCTAGCCTGGGGGGCCTTTAGCCCGGTTTGATAGCAAGGCTGGACTTGCTCTTACAAAAAATTCGAAATGAAATGATTCCCCTTTCACACGCCCCTTTTCTTACAAACCACATACACAACTTTTCTTGAAACACTAAGTGGGAACTGTACAAGAAACACCAAATTTTACTAAAAAGATAAATTTAGTTATAGAAAAACAATTTAAGGAATTTAAAGAACAATATATGAGATGGGTTGGTCAATCCAAATAATAGGGATCAATCATATGCCAATTTTTTTACAATTCAAACACCATCAGAAAGTCTACCAACTTGATTAAATGCCTTGAGCTTAGAAAACTCCACACGCTCCATATGTTTCCCAATTAAAGGGCAGCCGGTCCCTAAAATAGTTAGAAATAGGTTTTTTTTTTCTTTCTTTTGAGGTAATATTCTAAATTACTATAATTTACTACATAAGTAGGGGTCGAACTCAAATGCAAAGGCAGATACATTCCCATAAGAGCGTTTCCAGCCATAGCCCTCAACCCTGGCAGGACAAGGCTCGAGCCCAGGCAACAGCTTCCAGCGGGCCAAGCTTGTGCTGGCAAGTTGTGGGCCCCACGAGACAGAGCCAGCCCGTAGGCTAAACCAGCTTGACCTCTAGCTTGGGTTTGCTGACGTCAACGATGATGTCAACAACCAAAAAAAATCTTTAAAAAGTACTAAAATTTTATGATTTTTTTTTAAATAATAAATACTTAGTCATATTCTTCACTTCCCATACCAAAACTCTATACAAATTCCTCTCCTCATATCTCATGTGAATAGTGGTTGCCATGGCAATGAATGGAAACACCACAATCTTTTACAATGGCTACCACTATTCACGTAAATAGTAACAGCCCTTGCCTCACCCTTACCATTTACCATGGGCAAATGGGTGGAAGTGCTTTGACTAATTGACGTAACTCACATTTTACGTTGAGTAATTTTGTTGCATATTCACATCAGCCTCATGGTGAATGCAGCTTCATAGGTATATGTGTAATGTGCACATATATTGCTTGCTGACACACCTTCAATCTATGTGTTGTCTTGTTTGTCATGCTTGATTTTGAGTCTCTTTGTCAAACTGTGGGTTGCACAATTCAGTTAGGTAAACTAGAATGCTGTGTTAGCCTTGGCTTTGGTTGCTTCCTAGCTATAAATTCCAACCAAATATTTCCATTTGCGAACACTCATAATTAAATCAAAGCATGGTTAGGAAGGCCTAACTTGCCTACATTTGCCAGCTCTTTATTCCACTAGTTGACAAGGTATGGTGCTGAATTGGGCTGGCTTAAAAGCTCCAAGCTCTTGTGAGTTCTAAAACTTAAAGGCATAAAATTCTTTTGGTAAAGCTTTGTTGTGGATGATTTCTATATTCAGTTAAATGAAAAGATTACAACATTATAGATCTTTGCTTTCCATTTGCTATCTTCTGCATCATTTATTATTGCAAGAGATCCAGAAACTGATTTGCTTCTTCTTCTTTTTTCCCCCACTCATACCAACATCTCTCATGGCTCTTGATCTGGCTAGTTTGACGTTATAATTTTGATTACAAGATGGGACCAATTGAAAGGGGAATCCGAACTCGGAAGTAAAACCCTCATTGCCCTCACAAGCTTAAAATTCCCCTCCCACCCTCTCAATTATTTTCCTTGGGTTAATCGTTTTATTAGTCCCTGAACTTAAACCCGATTTGCATTTGAGTCCCTCAATTTCCAAAATCGTTCCCATTGTCCTTTAACTTCTCTTTCGTCAAGACAAATGGTTCTACCATCAATTTTGTTAACTTTTTCTGTTAAATGCAGGGGCAAAATGATATTTTTATATTAAAACCAAAAATTGAATAAAAAATCATATCTTTAAAATAACAATAAA